TCCACCGGCCGCGCCGCCAGGCAGCGGGTCCAGCTCCGGCTCCGGCTCCGGGCTGCTCGCGTGGCTCCTCCGTGACAGGGCATATTTACCTCATGGATATTTACCGTCCAATAAGGCAATCTGAGTGACCGCCACCGTACGGCTAAATGTGGCCGGTCGGCGCGGTGCTCATGCTTCCTTTTCGGTGGTTTGGCGGCGCGCGAACCGTGCTAGACGTGCCTCGCATCCGGGAGGATGCCGGAATGGGGCGCGGGCGGATCCGGGAGACAGGCAGGGCGCGGGCCACGCGAGACAGGCGCAAAAAAAAAAACGTCTGAGGATGTCCTGTGAGGTGTAGTGCCTCCGCTCTGCCTCGTTGGGATAGGTATGGCCGAATCCCATGAGAGTGTACGGAAGCCAGTATCAAGAATGTAGATTTTAGACGCATCCATTGATGTAACTTGATGTGCTCGAGTGTTGAAACCCAGCATTTATGACATGGTGAATCGATGAATGCCCCTGCTTCTTTTTCGGGTATTGTATAAGGCTCGATCGATGAAGCGATGATGAAAGCAGCATCGATGAAAAGCTGGGATTCATCGATTCTGTGCTAATTATTGCTCGCAAATTGACAGCACTGGGCAGTGCAGCACCAGTGTGTTTGTCTTCCTTCATCAAAATAAGTTGCTTTGCCTACTCATTAGTAGAATGGAAATAACTGCCAACCTCGTGCTGTTTTTGTTAGGGCTCCGTGCCAAAATGAGACAAGATGTACCTACTCCAACTAAAAAATGTTGCGGTATGGTGTCTTTACCGTCCAAGTTTGCACGCCTCCCGGACAGCATTATACACCATGGCGGACCAGTTCGTTATATAACATAACCTAAAAGCGGTAGGCATGGTAGACCGAACGATAACTCATTTTTAGTTCGACTCATTGCGGACGTTTGGTGTTGCACAAACGGGGACTGGCTGCAGCTCCTATTTGTTCGAGCTTTGATTGTAGTTGCGCATCTGCTTTGCTTTTATTTAGGAAAAGTGTAGGCCATCATAGGATATTCGATAATGTTCAATCAAGAAGTGGTTCATAGCTCAGTTCCGTTGTCAAATACTGATCACCAGAGATGGCGGTGGACGCGTTTACACAATTTCTGTATGCGGTACGTGCAACCTTCGGTGATGGCCCCAGCAAACAATTCTCTTGACGTCAGGAGCAAATCGTCGATGAAATTCGCTGTTCCTACATCAAGTTACCGTATGTGTAAGTGTTTAAGGACGGTAATTAATTGTAGCTTGAATTTCTTGATTCATGTATACGCTGCTGATACGTGCACAGCAGTGTCTGTGCGGTAAGTCATCACCAGGCATTATTTAAATCACGAGGAAATCCCGTTGAACGTGCTACCTTACCGGATTTTGTGATATCAATGTTGTCCTTCAACATCATTATCAAATGCCCGCTTCATTTTAGCAGCTCAACCATTACAAGGACATCGAACATGCCGCATAATTAGTTAACGAAGATGGCCCATTTCTATAGCATTTTATGGTGTTGTGTTTTCCTATGTTATTTGCACGAAGTCGTATGTTTCGAAGGAGCTGAAAATGAACACGCCACGTAGTTTGGAAGATTATTACCCAAACAGATTGTTAGAAGCTTTGGTCTTTCCTTTCTTTGTAATGATCTATTCGTTAAACCACTGTGCTTCAATGCAATTCCACCAAATGTATTTTACCGAAACTGATGGTAAGTAGCTCCCACATCGAGTGTGAGGATAATTGCACCTTGGAAGCTGTGAAAATCTGATCTTTTGTCATCTCAGTTGTCTATCGGGCCGAACACAAGGTTTAGGGCACGTGCTATTTAAAGCATGTTATTGTTCACTGCCTTATCTTTTTTTTCTGTGTTAATGTCACTCACATATGAAAGCAAAAAAAAAAAAACGTGCTGAGCTCAATACCTACAATTGTATAGAACAATGCTTCGTTTTCCTAGTTGGTAGCGTTGTTTTCTTGTTGCGCGGAGCCACTAACACAAGCAAGTTGCGTCTGTTCTTCTTTATTTGACTTTACTAACATACCTATTACCTACCCATCAAGTAACCTACGAGCAGCAGGGGGTGGCATAAAGTTGTCCCCCCCCCCCTTTATGTTTTGTTGAATATCTCCGAAACCAGATGAGCTATGAACATGAAACCTGGCTCAGCTTCAAATGAATACCTACTAATGTTTGTTGAAAGTTGGGTGGTTGTAGCACTTAAGATGACGTCACAGTGACGTCATAAAATGTTGTCGTTTTCCGATTTGGAGCGTTTCTAATGTTGCTGAGCATGAAAATCAACTGTAAATGAACTAAACGGCACACACATTTAAGTACATACACATCAAGCTAGTTCTTGACCAATTATCTTTCCTTTATATTTGGTCCCATATATCGGATAAATCGTGAGGAAACTAGGCGTCGCAAATCTATAATTTGACTTCTGACGCCACTGTGACGTCATTTCAAATGGGATCGGCAGCAAATTTGGACAAAACCTCGGCTAGGTATTCAGAAAGTTGTGTGCAAAGTTTCGCTTTTCTATCTTTTGGCGTTGCGACGATATCGTCGCAGAAGTAAAGGGGGGGGGGGCAACTGTATGCCCGCCGATCTGCTGAGCCGGAAACATGGTTAGATACATACCTACCTCATTCTAGCATTCACATCTACATAAAACAAGGAAAAATGATCATTTTGCCTAATTTTGAATCGTATGTATCGCTGCCAGTCCCGCCAAGTTCGCTGCGTTGACATTCATGATTCACGCTATGGGAAATATCGGTCTACCGTAAGGTTCACTTGTCCCGATATGGGAAAGGCATGCGAAAAACGATGTTGTTGATCTCTTTAACACGCAATCGTGTCACCAAACGTGCGTACTGTTGAAACTCGAGCCGCCAAATAGGCATAACGAGTCAGAATCGACAGGAAGAGATGGACAGATGTGACTGACTCGTCGTCGGAATGCATTGTACGGCTGCGTGCAACGTTTTCCCGTATGAACGATGACTCGAGTTAGAGGGAACTGCTTAATCATTAGTGCGTAGTTGACTCATAAACTGTTACCACCTGAACTTTTTCTTGTCTTTTATTTCTATCTTTTATTGTTCTGAGCATCGTCAGCTAAGTACCAAATTAAGTCAACCCTAGCAATAAATCGCAGCAGTGGTAATAAAGATAAACAAATAGTCGACTCCAAAGAGGTTGTAGATTGCTCCGTCTGAGCTTCGCTCGACGCTCGTGGATCACAGAGCTGTCGTGCAGTCCTACCGCGTGAGTTACGGATCCACGGAACAGAGAATGTCAGCCGCGGGACCGATACCAGAACCGCGCCCTAATGTTCACCGATCAACATCATCCTCGAACGGTCGGCCGCAGCCTTGGATGACATTCTTTTATGCACACAAATAACCGTAATCAGCTACCAAAAGTGGACGAAGAAACACTGCATGGTAGACATGTTCCGTGGACATGAAAACTGGCTGGCGATGTAACTTGTTGATAAGCTGAGGACAGTTATGGATGAGCAAAGTAAACATTCAGAGAAACATTCAGCAAATTTATTGATTTTTTTTGTAGAGTTTTTAAGCAAAATATCGCTACAGGTACCGTGGCAATCAGCCTGGCTGCGAGTCCGTAGCAAGCACCTCACCGACGTAACGAAGGCTGTCAGGTCAGTCGGTATTCGGCGGTAGCTGATGAACGGAGTGCATCTTATCATACTGCTATAGCTTGGGACAGAAGCCCGACCCTCGTCAAACCGTGGAACCGCCGCTCCGCACCATTGCCAGCTCCAGTCGCGTGAGCATCGGCCAGTCGAGCGTCCGAAAAAAAATCCAGCGGGACGGCCAGACGCGGCGGTAAAAATCAGTCGAACCGGCCACTCCGCGCGGACAGCAGGACTGTCCGCTTTTCCGCAGCGGAGGCGCTTTGCACACTGATGTTATTTCTTTATTGGTATCTCGCATGCTTGCGTGGTGGAGCCGTTTATTTACACGCGCTGTGTTGTCGATTGAGTAGGACAGAATTTTATTTTGACTGGGCTTTGGGCATGGTATGCCCTACGTATTAACCAATGTCTTCTGAATGAGGTGGTTTGAGTGCGATGCTGATCCCGTCAGTAAAAACCCATGTGAAAACAATGGCCATCTATGCTAATGGATGAATCATGGAAAAACGGAGTTAATGAGGACGCTAACAACTGTTCCATTGTTGCGTAGTGCGCTGCGTGACATGTGCCTATGTTTTTTTCAGTAGTGACGGGCGACATTTTGAAAGTCCAGTTATGGCTTTAGTTAGGCTAGCTGGTTGGGGCAATACCAAAACAAGGACATTTTCTCATAGATATTGTCTGTAAGTAGCTGGATAATAATATCTAAGCGGCGCAGAAGTACGAGCTGCCATCCTATTACCTGGCTTAGTATGAATGTTCAGTGCTCATTCGTTATTTGCGGATTTTCTTGCTATTTTTACACCACGGTATTTACCTGCGGTATCACGTTCATAAAATGCAAGCAGCTATATTTGAAGTTGTGTTACTGAAATATCCAGTACGGGCACGACACAGGATTCTAAACCCTCCCCTCAAACTGTAACAAATGTACTTTAAATATAAGTGTCAGATAGAGTTGATGCTGTTTTAACGTGGTATAGTCAGGTTTTACAAACACAAAGCTTGCTGGCGATTTTCGTATCGGCACAATTCAAAATTGGACCTTGGTTGTTGCCGCGGTTGTTGACCAGCATTGCTAGTTATTCACACTTGTGGTACGGTGGCTGTGCCATTTCCGATAGATAAATGATCTCATTAATAACGCAGCCTGATTTATGATACTGATTGTCATTCACGGACATGTTTTCTCCTACATTTAATCGCTTTCACGTGTGATAGATAACGATCAAGTGTTCTTGTTTGGCATAAAGCTCTGTGGCGTGATTAATTGGCCCACTTGATGCATGCGAATAACCGTATATAAGATGGAAAGAAATTGGTTTTGAATGAGTGGTGAACAGTTCTGCAACATGCATCCCTCTCAGCAACTCTTCTGCCTCCTGGCAGTCGGACTGACCGCCGTATCGGCTGCAACGATCACTTCCAAAGGTATGTCAAATGGTACATGCGTTTGTACTTTGTAGTACAGGTATGTAAATTGCATTGGCTATTGAGCATCAAAATTTGTTTTAACGTGCTAAGCCGATGCATGAGTCTGGTGTCAATGAACGCTTTGGTACTATCCCCATGCGAGCTTTCATAATATGTATGTGCATTACGCAAGTAACATTGAATGGCTTTGCAAGCACTCGCCAGGGGCAACATTAATCTGTCACCTAGTTATATGCAATAAAACTTTAGCTAAACATATGTCCATTTCTTTTCTAGGTTAGTATCAAATTGCACCTTGTTCTCGGTGATATTTAAACTGCTGTTCATCGAAAGCTCATTGCATTGGCTATTTATTTTGCTATTTGCTATTGTGCTTAAATCGTCTATGTTAGCCGTTTTCACAACGGCCATCTGGTACACATTTGGTGCACATTAGGTGCAGAGTTGGTGCATATTTGGTCACATTATAGGGTCATTGCGTTTCCTAGAAGGTATTATGTTGGGTTCCACAGTAGCTTATATACCTGATTTTGTTCCATTATCAGGCATCATTTTCGATTAGATCACTGAAATAAATTCATGGTATGAAGATATTTGTTGTAAAAGAGATTTGGTGTAGGTTTGGTTAACCCGTGCGGGGCTGGGGTCTCCAGCCGAACGCGCGGGGCTGGGGGGGGTAAATTTTACCCCCCCCCTGTTATCTCCCGAACTAATGGTCCGATTTGGAAAATTCAAACGCCAGTCGAAAGATCTCATCACGAACAACTAAAAACATGTACTTAATTTAAAGTTTGAGGTCAAGGTCAAGGTCAGGTCAAGGGTACAAATTGCAAGTGTCTACAGTATCGGCCTTGCACCGTAGTTGCCGAAGAATGGAGTCATGGACTGAGACTGATTGCCCAAAACGTGTTCTTAGGCTACCAAGACAATATTCGTTGCATACAATATCATTCAGAGGTCCAGGTCAAGGTCAGGTCAGGTCAGGTCAGGTCACCAAAAACAAAATATAGAAAAGGGCATGTGCGACACATGTTTTATGGGTCATTTTACACATAGAATTCAATAGGCGCACTCAATAAGTGATATAGACCACCTCTGGATGAATTTCAGGTCGAGGTCAGGTCAAGTGAGGTCAAATTTTGAAATTAGTTGTTAAGGCCTAAAATCGTGTCTATCTGATGCAGTTTTTCACGGCGAATCGAATGGTGCTATTTTTGTTTCCGTACGAGGTCTAGAACTTCAAAAAAAAAATCATTTTTCAAAATTTTTGTGTGTCGTGACGTCATAAAAGTTTGAATAACTCCCACATTTTTGAACCGATTCTTCTAAAAATTGGTATGTAGGTGCACATAGACCACTTCTCTGACATATATTCCGGTTTTTTCGATACACTCAAAATTTTGGATTTTATAATTATTTTCCCCAAAAAATCAGTTTTTTGAAAAAATTTGGGCCAAAATCCAAAATTTTCAAAAAACCGAGATAGCCATTTGATAGACAAAGTAGAATTACGTATAACCTTTTTTTGTTACGTCTTGATTCCTTTAAAAATGAAGATGTTAGCGGCGTTTGAACTTTTGCCGTTTTTGAGCCGAAAATGGCGAACATGACGTCACTAAAACGTCAAATTCTCAAAAAATTTCCGACGGATTTCGCTCAAATTTTCAGGGAACGTGTCAAATTGATGTAAGAAAAGGTACTGAAAGTTAGGTGGCTCTGCGTGCCGCCGTTTTTGAGATATTGCAAAAATTCGCGAGGGGGGTGAAATTTACCCCCCCAGCCCCGCGCGGGTTAAGTTTGGTGCATTCGCCAGATAATGCACAACACTGATCATTGTATTGCCTCTTTCAGATTTCAGCCTCCAAAGACAGCATGCCACGATTTCGGCTCAGTCCATGATGGAGGAGAGATCCGTGTACGACACTCCCCGCCTGGCATGTGACACTGCAATACAGTACCTTCAGCCTGGAGTGTACCACATGCAGTCACCAAACTACAAACGTGACGACCCCGGTAATTACACCAATGACTTCCGCTGCAAATACCGCATGCACGCAGCCGACAGCAATGGCATGCTGCGCTTCGACTGTTTCTTTTTCCAACTGGAGGACAGCCAATACTGTCTAAAAGACTCATTCGCAGTTGCCAGAGATGAAGGTGCTCAGACGATAACGAATTTCTACTGTGGGAGAACTAAAACGCCGAAAACACTGTTCGCCAAGAATATCGATGTTTCTTTCAAAACCGACTCGTCCGGCACCGACAAGGGTTTCTTCTGCACGGTGATGTCTAAGGAGGCGGCAGCAGGCTGCGGCAGTCTGCCGTGCGGCAAACGTTATCTTGGACCGGGAACTTACAGCCTCCTCAGTCAGAACTACCCCGAAAACTACGGAAACAACATCTACTGCAAGTGGGAGCTGGTAGCCAGCGATCCGTCAAACACGGTGGACTTCAGCTGCAGCAGCTTTGACATGATCTCCTGGGACAACTCCTGCGAGTGGGACTGGATGAAGGTCGACGGTGTCCGCCACTGCAACAACAACAAGCCTGCTCCGCAGCAGTTCACGGGCGGCGTCACCGTGGAGTACTCCACACCGAACTTGCCTCACAAAACAAGAAAGGGATTCAAATGCACTGTTTCTATTCGTGATTCCAAATTGGCAAATGAATCTAACTGAACAGAGCACCAAACAAATGAATCAAAACGGACCGTCCACGCTGGAACAAGTAACTGCCGAAAAGGACCAAGATCACCCGATGAACCATGTCTCGATCTGCTTTCTGAGCGATTATTTTACAATGTGGCAGTGAGGAGCTGACTCTTCACATTAAATTTTTGACAGTTATTCCGGGGATATTGTTTAAGGGCAGTGTCTGTTGGGTCTTGTTTTTAATGGAATTTTGTTCTTTTGGAAGTGTGCTTTATTCGGAAGACTTTCAAATAAAAATATAATTTTATGCATTACAAACGCGAGTTTTCAAAGCATATTCACACACTTCAGATGAAGCCTTTCCTTGGCCTCCAATGCATTACCGCCTAGCACGTTTAATGCATTACCGTCAATGCATTACCACCAGTAGCACGTTTGTCTTCACTGATTTGTTCGATGTTTGTTTTGTTGGGTTAGGCCCTTTCGGTCGACAAGACCATTGCAGAGCCGGAAGGATGATAGGAATTAGGGGGAGACATTGGTCTGGGCAGGCACCCTAGTGAGTCGCCGGGGCTGAGCCCGTCCAGAGGACAGGCCACCCAGCCCCAAGGCACTCACTGCACCCGGCTACGGGGTGCGCTCCCTCGGGAGCAGCGGTGCCGCTCCAAGGGAGCAGCCCGCATGAGATAAAGTTGCCTGTCCAGCCCGGAAGGGGTTGTGGCGTGGAGGAGAAGGATTTCAGTTTCCTGAGGATAGAAGCACGGATAGGTGATTTGTTCGATGTTCATGAATAGGTAGGTATACACTTGCAAGTTGCAGTTGCATGACCATGGGCCAATTCTGAGGACGCTGACGGTCAGTGGTTAATGGGAACTCAAATATTCTTAACCTAAAAGTTCTTAAATGTCCGCTGACGTAGGTAAATAAGCGTGCTGGCCTTAACCTAATTGCATGTCTTCCTTGGTGCGTTGTCCACCCAGTCTCGGATTTTTCCTGCCTGAAAACACGACTGTGCTGCCACCTGTCGTCGGTGGCGGCATGTGAACGGTAGAGGGCAATGGAAAGTAGTATAGAGGAGGCTTCAATGCACCAGCCACTGCTTCATGCCTGACCTGAAGCTCTGAACTCCTCAGAGATGGACGTGCCTTGTTCAGGTGAGTTGTTATATAACCTCAGCTCTCACCCGTCAGTTGTTTCCATCCTCAGGGCAAGCAAATCCTTCTCCTGCACGCCGCAACCCTCGGTCCGGGCTGGACGGGCAACTTTTCATGCGGCCTGCTCCCAGGGGAGCGCACCCGTAGCCGGGTGCAGTGAGTACTTGGGACTGGGAGGTAAAGTAATCTTGCTTGGAGGGCTGGTCGGCCTGTCCTTTGGACGGGCTCAGTCCCGGTGGCTCACTAGGCTGCCTGCCCAGACCAATGTCTCCCCTTAATTCCTATCATCCTTTCGGCTCTGAAATGGTCTTGGCAGACCGAAAGGGCCTAACTCAACAAAGCAAATAACTCGTCGGTTAGGAAGGTAAGGAGGCAATTGCTCTTTAACGATCGGACATTGTAGGTTTGACAACTTTTTGCCCCACCAACTTCCCTGGAAAAGTTCCACCCATGCACCTAGGTGCTAGGCATCTACAAATATCCCTCTAAAATTCGTACCAAGACCGTTAGGATTTAACAACGCAAGCCAAATCCAGCAATATTTGGAACACCTATAACAGCAACTTTTGTGGTCATCTCGCTCATTTTCCATGATAATGCTGATGGTGGTGGTGAACTCGTTGACGCTAGAATATTTTTGCCGTAAAGCAGGCTATCCTTGAGGCTTGTCCCGTGGTCTTTTGAGCCCCAGCTCTCGTTTTGACTACACAGCATGCACCTCTTATATGTTCCTCCGTTATCGGCGGCCACCGTGCAATTGCTTTTGCCTTTTACATGTTTTCTCTAATCAAACGGTGCAGACATGCCGACGCAGACCACTGCCCATCCTCAATTTTTTTTTCCAGGAAATGGTTGGCCATTCTGGAGGCTGTCTTTGATGGCTGGTGCCTGCCTCGAACCATCCACTCCATCAACCATTGCATAGGCGCCTCTTATTTACTGTGCTGTGGCCGCCTGCAGGATTATTGCTATCGAAAAGAAGCTCTTCGTATGCCGTGCAACTCCGGGCTGATAGGGGAAATGTTGGACAGCAATTACATGACATGAGCATTGTGGAACATGTCCAAACTACATGCCGCTATGCCAAAGTTGTTATAAAGTGGCTGTAGCAGAAAACCGAAAGAGATAAGGGACATAACATTTTTACGGCGACAGTTAAAACCTTTGGTTGGTACCATGCACAGGGATAAGAGCATGACATATTTAGGTAAATTCCCTTTCTTCCGCAGTTGTGCTATTTCCTGTAGGTAATTCATCTGTTTATTTCACTTCATGTCAAATGTTTTAATGTGAGACGGGGTAAGCACGCTTATAATATCAAAGCGGGTCCCGAACCAGTTTTCGCGTAGAAGGTATTTAGGAGGCATTTAGAAGGCACCGCAAAGAAGGTCACGTGACGATAGATCGTCGCTTCCTGCTTACGTTTAATTGGTTTGCTTTCTTGTCTGTAAAGATCACGCTTGTACTCTATTTTTTCTTTATTTGAAAATATTCATTCAAGCATGCATAAGACAATGGGTTCATGTATTTCCTTATGTGGTAGATAAGATAAGAGGAACACGACATCACACTTAAACGAGCCTTCGGAATCACATCCAATTAATGATACTTTTTTAACACTTCACAACCACTTGCTGATTGACATTACGTCACATTGGTGATCTGCCAGCCAATAGGCGTTGGCGACGAGCCGAGCACGGCCGCTGATTGGCGCAGTCAGCTGCTGATGATGACATTACGAGCAGCGCGGTGAGTTGTTGGGGGCGATGATTCCACACGCCAGACGCATGCCGGCGTTGCCCGTCTTCAGGCTGCCCTCGTTGCCGCCCTTGCCGAGGTCATCCCGGTCGGAGTGTACCACCACTGACCTGAGGTCGGGGCATGAGGTCAGCTCGGCAGTTATCGACAACAGACGGAAGGCAAACATCGGTCAACGGACAACCGATACAGAGGTCAACTGCTTTAGTTATACCTGGTGGGCTCCTGTCGGCAGAGACGATTGTTAAACAATAAACACGCATCGCATCACACTCATATTGTAAATCACATCTCACCATCACAATTTTATTGCATGCCACATTATAACGTATTGCTGTGATGTGAGGTTTGTGATAGGAATTAGGAGGTCTAGGTTTATCCCTAATTGGTGCTACCCAGTTTTTCTTTCCTCTTATCCATTAGAGAACTTTTTCTCCATCTATCTACAAAACGCAATCAGTTATCTGTTCGCACCAGTGACGCACCCAAGGGGGGCCCCTCAGGCCCCGGTATATTTTTTCAAACACTGGATAAAACGTCTTTTACTAGGAAGGAAAAGTGATATCAAAGTTTCATTTATGTGCCCCTGGTTACCCGAAGGGCCCCTGATGACCTGATGGGCCCTGCAGTCATCCGAGGGCCTCCGGTTCCCTGGGCCCCTGGTCGCCGGGGGGCCTGGTCGCATGGGGGCCTCTGGTCGCATGGGGCCCCTAGTCGCCAAGGGGGCCCCTAGTAGCGGGGGCCTGGTCGCATGGGGCCCCTGGTTGCCTGGGGGCCCCTGGTCGCCTGGGCGGCCTGGGGGCCCCCGGGTCACCTAAGGGCCCCTTTGAAGTAGGTGGCCCCCTCCTGGACGAAATCCTGGGTACGTGCCTGGTTCGCACCCACCCATAGATACCCATTCCCACCATCAGTCTTATACCAAGTGTTACAAACAGGTAATATAATGTCCTATCCACATCCACCTATGGGCGAAGCTGCCGTCCACACCAGTCCACCCACGGGAGGACTCCAGCACTCACCTGCGGAAGATATCGGCCTCTCCGGGGAACAGGCTGATGATGTCGTCGACGATGTTGAGCTCGGCGATGCCGTCAAAGTTGGCCTCGATGTTGCCGAGGTCACCCACGTGGCGGGAGTCAATGCCGTTCGTCTGTGCTCCGTGCGGGCTCTGGCGATGGAAGGGTCGGGTCATGGTCAGTAAGAGATAAAGGAAAGCATATATGTAGTGAAGGTAGCACCGTGTATCGGTAAGCTTTTTGACGAATGTGTGAATAAACTATCGTGAAAGCGCTGAGAACAGTCATTTTCTTTAGCGTTAACAGGTTGTTTGCATTTGAACATTATTTAGTGTGACCGGACGAAAGTTTGTTGACCGGACGAAAGTTTGTCTCCTCTTGACCTCCGACTGCTCTGCTCTGAGACAGGCTGTTGACTCATCCCGTGCTGAGCGGGGAAGGGAGCGTAGGAGGGGCACGGGTAAGTTGTTTGAAACTTGCTGGCGTGTCGTCCACCGTACTCGTTACGGAACGTAGGTAACAGACGTTGGGAAAATTGACTCTTCCAGGTCTCTTCCGGGTCTCTTCAGCGGGTGCCTCATCGCATGCCCGCTATCACGCGCTCCCATCCTGCACTACAGTCACACCCACCTGGAACGGGTTGAAGTGTCCGCCGGCGCCCTTGCACTGATCGGTCAGGTTCGGGTGCTCGTGCACGTGCAGGCCGTGTTTGCCAGGAGACAGGCCCGAGATACGACCTGAGGAACGGTGAAAGTGAATACCGCGGGCTGGGAGGTTCCAGGTAACAACACTATATGTAAGTACAGTTGCATGTGGATATGCCGTGACTTACGGAGTGACGACGCTAATGGACTTAACAGGTTCTCCCTTAATTGCTTGGTTGAAATTACGAGACAGGCAATTACAATCGAATTCAGTACTAACTCAAATTCAGTAAACCTTCATCCACGAATTAAAAGTTTATGAGAACGAACATTTCACAAATTATTACGGCCCTCTTCACACTTCGCAGTCTTTTTATGAAGGGCTCGTGTGGTCAACGAATAGGTACATGATTTAATATCGGGACAGTCATTTTTGAACCCACCTGTGATCATGACGGGGTGGTCGGGGCACTCCTGATAGAAGAACACCGCGCCGCTGACCTGATTGCTGACCCCGGAGACGAGATCCACACGCGCCGACACGGCCGTGCAGGGCTGTGACCCGAGACACCGGTCAGAACACGGGGTACGGGGACCCGCAGTTGCTACTGTACACGAACCCCAACTCTAGCCGTCTGTCCTGTCCAGTAGCAACCGACAACATTGATATCGACCGCCGGTCCCTGTACAAGAGCAGCTGAGGTTTTCTCTGCGTGCCCTCTGACAGCTTATCGTTGTTCCCTGTGAGGGTGCTGGGACAATTTACTCAGGGTCGCTGTACAGTAGCAACTGCGGGTCCCCGTACGAGGTAATGGAAAACTACGACGAGACGTGACAGTGTAGGACTGTGACCCGAGACAGTGGTCAGTACTAGAGGTAATGGAGGTAATGGATGACAGACGAGACGATGAGACACGGCAGCGCAGGGCTGTGACCCGATATTTCGGTCAGAACACAAGGTGATGGAAGAGAGGTTAGACGATGAAGGAGTGACGAAGAAATGACGATTTATGTCTAGACACTTGATAAATGAAAAGTGAAGACTCAATAATTGTGCTGAATAAGCGGGGAATGGCAAGGAAGCAATGATCTCATCAAACAATCAGCTTATGCCAAGGTAATATTTTCGAGGCTCGGGAGAATTTACGATGACAAGAATCAGGAACATGAAGCGTATCAAGATCAATCAGGGAACGAAATAACTTCAATCAATTTACCAGCACTTCGATAAGATCATCGTTTCAGTAGCATGCGTCTTATTGAAACGATGATCTTATCAAACATAACTTCACGATCACGCTCCGCTAGAGGCGCATAATATCGTTAAGACCTCAGACCAGGGTCAATAACTCCCGATCGAAGTCAGAGTTGTTGTTCAAAACAGGCCTTGAACCCTCAGTTTGGAATGCATGGGCTGCTCCGTGGGGAGCATACCGCGCATTCTCGGAGCTGTAGAGGGCCGGGGATGACCTCAGCTGGGTAGATCGGGCAGATGCTATGATTAGTTTCCCGAGATTGCCTTTGATGCTAGTTACGCGTTATTCAAAGGTGATGTTGATTATTTTGCCGCTCCTGTATAGATCATAAATATGGTGGTATTTTGATGGGCTTTAACCAGTTTTTCTTAGGATTTATCACTGTCAGAACAAATCTAAGGACCTTACCACCAACAACCAGTCGTCAACAAAACAGCAGCAGCTGTGCGTGCACGGTGCAGCGTCACAGATGCGCCCCCAGCCTGTTAACCTACCTGGCCACGCAGCCTGAATTGCGTACCTACCTGAGGACTGAAGCCTGTTCAGTACCTACCTGCCGGATGGGCACAGCCGGCGCCGGCGCCGGCGGCCGTGGCAGGAACGAAATGTCCTGTGGCGCTGGGTATGGCTCGAACGGTCTCCGTGGGGACAGTGAGGCCGACCAGAGAGGGTTGGGAGCCGCGCCCTGCTGTCAGAACGTCCCGAACACACCCAGACACCAGTCAGGAAACAGGCACCACCTCCGAGAAAACGATAACGGAGAGATGGCATGCGGTAGGTAACACAAACATAAAACATAAATGAGCAGAACATGCTAGTCACTAGTACCAGTTACTTCTACATCGAGGGTTGATAACACGCGCTAATGAGGAGCAGATCTGTTCCTTTTGGTCTCATTTTTGTTACATTTAATGAGAAAATAGATAAGGTTTTTGCAAGTAGGTAGAAGAGTCGATTCTGCTCCTCAAAGCGCATGCTATCACCCTAAATCGCAAGAACACGTATGAGAGGTTTCCAAAACACATGCTAAGAAAAGTTTACTGCACGCCTCTTCCAGCGTCTGTCTCCCGATGATTTAGTCACCACATTACGCAGAATAGCAATACACCTCCCAAACACAAAGCGAACGATAAAGCAATTTCAGTAAGGCGTAAATAAAGCAGTGAAGTTAGTGGCAGCAAATCCGCGACGCCCCATTTTCCTGTAGGCTGACGTTTAAAGCGAGCTCGCGTCAGCACAACAAAGCAATCTTCGTATGACGTTGTATCGTCGGTACACGAAGGTACAGCAAAGCGTAAACAGGGAAGCCTACTTACCCTCCAAGCACACATAGCGCATATGCAAAGCTGGCGGCCAAAGGCCGGTGTAGTCGACGGCGCAGCTGGTTATGTTTTTACAAAGCTGTTTGGGGGCTTACCTGGCCTGCACCGGAGAAGTGTCGGCAGAAATGGTCTGATCGGTGGTTCGGCAGAAGTATGGGTTAACCAGTTATTGTTTTGTGTTGTAAAATTTCGCCAGGAATAATGTAATCGATATGGTGTGGCCAGAGCGAGGTCTGGTATGCCTTGATTATGTTAAGTGTGTCTGGAGAGAGACCTGTAATGGTATGGTCATAATCATATCTGGCTAGAGGTCTGGTGTGATGCGTTCATTGTTAATGCTGAGCATATGTCTCTAACTATGATGTTTACGCCAATATACGCCAGGAAGTGTCGTAGTGTGGTCATTCACCTTTCTGAATAATCTGCATGTCAGTGGTCTCTCACCTGACGTCAGTGGTGATTCACTTTACGGAATGTTCTGTAAGATGACTAATCACCGGTCGCTCACCTGAAAGAATGGTCTCACCTGCTCACCTCACCTGTCTGTCACCTGCTTACCTCAACTGCCTGTCTCCATTTTTTTTTCTCTCTCTCTCTCTCTCTCTCTCTCTCTCTCTCTCTCTCTCTCTCTCTCTCTCTCTCTCTCTCTTTACTTCTCTTTCTCCTCTTTCTCACCTGACGAAGAGGAACTCGTCCCGGCCGGCCGCCTGTCGAAAAGGGGCTGAACTGGGCACTGGACAGTCCGGCCAGCGCCAGCAGCAGCAGCGAACTGAAACAGAGGATATGTCAGCTGTTACATCTCTGCAGAGGATGTGTCAACTGTCAACTGTCTACAGAGGATGGATGACCAGATATGTCAACTGCCAACTGTCAACAGAGGATGGACGGCCAGGGCCCAGGGGTGTCAGCTGCCATCTGTCAACAGAGGATGCAAGTGTCAACTGTCAACTGTCATCAGAGGATGGACGGCCAGGGGTGTCAACGGTCAGCTGTCAAGTGTCAACAGAGAATGAATGCTTAAAGCCTAGAGGTCACAAACAGAACAGCGCCTATCAATATGGGATTACTTGCCCCAAGGGATCAACGCACGTGAAAAGGCACATCATAGGGAGGCTCAGCTCATCCAGCCAGGAATAGCAGCAAACATAGCTGCTTGACCTGCAACTCAGTTTTCAATGCCGCTTTTTATAGACGAAGTATGACCTCGGTCGGCAGTCTTCGGTATATTCAGTGTGCGTGCGGTCTGTTTCGCTTGCTAGCTAAAGCGACCTGTATGCGATACGTGAAATGAGTTTTTCGTTGGACAGTTAAATTCTCTTCCTCATCTGGTATTCAAGCTGGTTCGTCTGGCATTTTGGAACAAACGTTCTCCAATGTATATCTCTCGTCAGTTGAAATACATCTCACAATCCACTTTGACTTTAACGAGTTTTATGCGCTTTTTGTACATGTTTTAGTATGCCCTCAGTCATTTTAAAGATCATAGGTATGCAAGTTTGTGGTAGGTGTAGCAGATTAGTTTCTTCGTCGGGCTTCGTTCTTAACCTTTTTTATATGCCTTGCTTATGTAGAACGATTAAAAACAAAACGTTTTACCCGTGTAATGTGCAACGAACATGCTGGTTAGTTATGTCATATCTCTAAGTTTTTAACGCATTTACAGGCAGCAGTAACTTGTCAGAACTAATTTAATTTGGTAAGTGATGCTATGTTTGGTTAGTCTGCATGTGTGACAACTGAAATAGGTACCATGGGGTTACTATCAGCTAAATAATGCGCCTCAAATGGATTGTTTGCGTGTTTGCGGGCACATTAGTACCTCTAACACCGTTTGAGTGTCTATCGCACGAAGGAACGACATCTTTCCTCATTTCAGCGCAAAACACGAACGGTATCATGTTGACAGGTGAAGGTGCGAAGACAGTAGGGTATGATTTCGAGGTGGAAAAGATATAAATCTCACCAACAATCGGAGTTTTTCCTAGACTTCTTTGGGGGGGGGGGGGGGCTATCAGTTTGATTGAATGGGATTCATGCAAATGGAAGCTGAAGGCACACGTGTGTAATGCAACGTTTTACACCTTGTACCAAAAACCTTGTACCATTTTGACTCTCCCAACCGTTTTATTGATTGACAATGGACACGTAATAGCCACTCTGTTGTGGAGTGTCTGCTGAAGTGAATATGAATACACTGCCTGTTGAATTGAAGAAGACTTTGTAAATTTAGCATTGACATGCGCTGAATGTGTAATGATAAAAGTTTATCGGAAGGATTTAACGAACCGTTACGTAAGCGTTGTGATCGTTTCGCTGAATTTTGTCGGGAAGTTCTAAGAGTCTCATTGCGCACTTTAATGTTGCGTGCTCAGCACTGGCCCGCCCAGCTCCAAGGCAGTAGACGTTTCTGACCGGGGCTTTACACCGTGACTTCCAGCGTGACGTGCTCGCTCCTCGCCTGTTGAAGGATTATCTGACGTCGGATAACTTTTTCGCTGCTGTTTGCCTAGCTAGCACCGTCGCACCCGCGTCAGAAGCCGCTCACGCAGTCTTGGAGCACGTCGCCATAGCTGGAAAACAACATGTCGTCGCAGGCAGCGAGCCGTGGCTTCGCCGTCGCCCTGCAAGGTCACGGATTCTTTACTGATTTCGCTGAATAGGGGGCTACTTATATAAGAAGATTACTCCAAGGTAGCATAGCCAGGATCCGTAGATCGCTAATGCCGAATAATCCCCTTTTCTTCAGCCGTGTCCGACTGTGTCTGGTTGACTGAATTGTGACTAATGGATAAGTTGACGATGCCATGCGTTGCAGTTTCATCTCATTTGACCGTTTTCCTTTTATTGATCGTTCTGTTGTGAATCAGGAGGATTGTGTCAATTAGTGCCGAAGGTAAGCCCATTCAGAAATCGCTAACCACATAATTCAGTAGTATCGAGCTGTGCTTGGTCACGGTTTAACGAGGGTTAACTATGGTCTGAAAAATGAGCTGCTGCATGCAAGATCCTAAAAACACCACCAGTCACGGTCGCTCGTCTCATTTGGCTGTAGCGGAGTTTTGCTGATGCCGATACACCTAGCATACGAATCAGTAGGACGTGCTTGGCCTTGTGCAATGTGCAAGACTACAGCGTTACATAATTTAAAGACGTCATCAAGGTTAAGGGTATTTACATGGTTGATGTTAGTGGGTTAGATGGCATCTTACGCTCGGTATAGACACGCTCGCGATCTTTGTTCAAACAGCGTGTTTTGGCATGACACTCCAATGGGGCATTTACATTATGCAATCGTCACACTAATGTCTTTTAGAAACGTACCTTCCCGGTTAAAATGAGTCTTTAAAGCTGTGATGGTTTATCTCGTTTATATGTGATACGTGTGACATTTTGAGAATATCTGCGGCGATGTGAAAATGAATGCTTCAATACTCGAACATAATGAGTGCTCGATAGACCCTGACTCCATTGCTAGCTGTTACGTAAGTGTTAGGTGCTCCGTTACGTAATTTTATTCATAAGGTACAAGTAATGAGATAAATATGATTGTCCTTTTTAGATAGGCAGTGGGCAGCGATTGCTTTGAGAGAAAACAAGGCAATATCAAATTGTTAAGAGCCGTACTATTGCCGACTACTACGATTGCCTATCAAGCGTCGCCGATTTGAACAACGCCCAATGCCCATGCATAGCTCACTGCGTGGACTCAGTGTCTGAGTCCGCACGTATCCTGTTGTCATGTAACACCTCCTGCGTGATATGTAGTCATGGGGAGGATCCCTCGGAAACAGTGTTTCCCAACAAACACCGGGGGCGACCGCCGGTTTTTCTCAACCCCGCTGACCCAATTGTGCAACGGTGTCTGATGTTTCGGCGCATGCACACTTTATGGCGTGCTAGTTTCATAATGACCTCTCGGAGACTGCACCCGAATAATAGTTTGATGGAGGGTTTGTAAGGTGTACTACCTCGCTAGATCTCAGCTCTCCTGAAGCTAGATATCTCGTCTTGGGATGCTTGACTAGTCAGTGATAAGCAGCCCAAACTACGGTATTATATCATTTATTTTCTTGTCTTGTCGCTCCGGTGCCATAATTAGCGTGGAGTCACTATGTCGGTCGTTAGGCACCGCGTAATACCACGTTTGGGCCGTTTGCGCACCTGAGCTGTCAGTAGCTGGGGGTCGGCAGTGGTACGGGGCAGGGTCGCCTGCCGACCGTGACGGCGACACAGCAATCCGTGCCCGTGACGCCGCCACAGTGACCTAGTGACACGGGTCAAACGGAAACGGCCGAACTAGAGGAAATCATGTGTATAGTACAATTTTTGCATTTGATAAATTACCCGGCAAAAACCGTATTTGAAAACAAAAGGTTCAGACTTGCCATATTTACCTGTAACTGTCCACATAATCGATGCAAGTGCGACACATCTAACCCTGTTCCAATGAAACACTGAGTTGGATGTTTGAGTTGACCTTGGTCCATTCTTGGGCTGCCATCCGTGACATGTCTGGGACATTCAGCATTGCTTGGGCACGTGTGGGCGAGAACTGGACTCTCTATATGGCCTGCTTAGGGGACCGCCCGGATAACCGAGTGCCGACTTTCCTCGTCGGACGGGTAGGTTTCTGCACGATTTTTCCCAGAGTCGACACGGTATGCCCCATCCCGGAGAAGGTTGACAGGTACTTTATCTGCGATCGTATGTGCTTCCGAGTGTCATACCCATTTAGGGTGATCTGGTTATTGGTTTACAGGGGATTATGCTAGTGTTCAGTGCGCATTCACGCAGTAAATTAACTTCGTTTAGGTTCAAAATCGGAAGTTTGGACTTCGTTCACATTTCCAGGTACGGGAGACGATGCGAGCAAAATGTGAATGTATTTCTTTTACTGTCACTGACAGACATGACAATGAATTCCGACTTCTTTATTGCTCGTACCTTAGTGATGTTTTCACGGAAACGCTGTAATCCTTACTTTTCTGCCTATGCACGGCAAGGCTTGTGGAATGCGTCGCACAGCAGTGAAAGTTAGCTATCGGTTGCCGTGTGCCTCACGAAAGGTGAGAACCACGGGCACACACACCAGACGATGATTCACCTTCTCACTTGTCTGACCAAAGCGAGATCGGATCAGATGTCACTGTCAGCAGTCTGTAGGTATTTTTCAGGGACTCTGCAAAACACGATATCACTAGCCTGACGGACCTCATAAAGCCCAATGTGGATGCCAAAAGTATATTCGATAAACTCTGCTTAGCCATACCCTCCGGCCTCCAGTCAGATTCCATGACGTTCTTGCATCTTTCAAGCGCTATAGCGTGTCACGTCTTGGCAGCCAACATGTTTTTATGCCAATTCACTGCGCTGAGAGCGTCTGTTGCCTTCAGCTGCAGCTTTATCACGTGCTGACTGCACGGAATCCTTTGCTATCCATTGACCTTGGGTTCCGGTTCTCGGAGGTCGACTTCTAATTGCCGGGCCGCCGACGGTCGCTTTGCGTGACCTTGAGGTACGGATGATATAACAGGAGTGGAGCTCAGGTGGGCGGGTTCAATTGAAATGCTGACGGCAGCCCTCGATTTAAGACTGGATACTTCTTTTCTACATGGTCCGTTATTTTCATTTCTGCCGGAAATGCGTCTCAGGTTCTTTTGAATGCTTACTTGGTACATGTAGTTTCTTTTCTCAATGCATTAAGTGGTTAAATGAATAAAAATCGATGGCATCACGTTCGGTAATTTGGGATCACCAGTCTTGTCGACTGCTCAAGATATAGTGGTTGAGCATTATCTAGCATTATGCTAGGTTCTCCATGGCTAAAAAAAAGATCAGGCTGCAAAATGTGCGCATTGGTTATTTAGGTTTTCGTGCTAAAATCATGAACATCAAGTGGTAACTATATTTTTATGAGCTGAGGCCTCTTGCACCAAAATCCTCTTGCACCAATGCTTGGATTATTTTGCATCGTATACCCAGTCAAGTCTCAAATGTAACAATTTGCATGCAAAATTTTGCAAGCACATGTAGGATTATGTATTGGGCTATTGCAAACAAATTTACCACCGTTAGATTAGCTTATTCTGAAACCGGTTTTTCGATTTTAGCTATCTAGGTAGTTTGGTGCAAGAGGCCTCTGCTTTCCCCAATTTAGAGTTTGACGCTCACCCCACCGTCCTAAAGCTATACATTAACCCTCCCTTGTGCTATCAGAACTAACATTCAAGTCCATCAAATCGGGAAAGTTTCCGATCGAGTTCTTCTAAACTGCGATATTTATGGCCAAAAGTTGTTTTCTTGCTAGTTGAGGCCCACTCAAATTTAATCCACAGTGGCACATGACCGTTTACTCTTTTAATAACTAGGTATGCAAATCTGTATGGAAATTAGATTTGTTGAATCTAAATATGCACGGATCAGCATGCCACTTGTTATGCTGTAATGGTAACATTGCACTTTTTCCTCATTTTTCAGCTATTTAAGTGTTTTTATGGGAATAACTGGCTTCAGTCAACCCTTCAATGAACAGTAGTTGTACATGACAAAGCTCTTGATTTAACTATGAAACGGCACACTATACATTCTAGTAGGCACCTAATTATTAAAAGATTAAACGGTCATGTGCCACTGTGGATTAAATTTGAATGGGCCTCGACTAGCAAGAAAACAACTTTTGGCCATAAATATCGCAGTTTAGAAGGACTCGATCGGAGTTTCCCGATTTGATGGCCTTGAATGTCTAGACACAATCAACTCCATTTTGGAAGAGGCGATCATATACATATATCTTACATTATTTAGCATAGATAACTTTCATTCATGTCATGCATCCTTACCTGGATAAATATACATAGAAAATTAAATCGGTATGTAAACGATACCATTTCTATACTGAAGTAGGCAATGAAGCATATATCACAAAAATTGCTAACTATGCATATCATAGCGTGGCAGTTTACTAATCATATTCGATGTAATTCTTTGGTGGTGTAATCGACAATCTTTCCCTGTCGCATTTGCTTTGATGTATTCAAGTACACAAACGACAAAACAGTGCAATTCAAATCTTTATATCTATATTCGTTTGTGTACTTGAAACAATGTCTTCTTACCAACTTTGATGTATTGTTGGATGTGATATGATGCAGATGCAATTCACTGAAATGGTTACCACTTGGCGCTCACTTTATCCAGTTCTCATAAAACAGATACCATCTTACGATCGGGGATCCAGTCAGCACGCGTTTTTAATCTACAGTTGCTACCATCGCACATGATTATCATCTATTGCAGCTTACAAAACATAAACAATAAACAGTACCACCGATCCCAATCCCATGACTCAACCAATCCCTCCCCTAGCGATCCCCCCTCCCTAGCGATCCCTCCCCCCGCTGTACCCTCTCCGCGTGTCTCACCTGCGGGCCATTATGTGAGCACGTGCGCCGTCTCGATCAGTGTGTCTGTGTTCCACCCGTAGCCGCTCACTGGCTGCCAGCGCTCACACCGTGCACTTATAGCCTGCCCGGGCCGCGGTCCGAGCGCCGTGCCGTGCCGGCCGGCTGGGCTAGGGCCCGGGGCAGCGGCGGTTCAGAGCTCCGCAGAGCTGTGTACGGTGCAGAGAACCGCTGCCAACTCCTCTCAGATTCGTGGAGAGGAGGAGGGGAGGATGACGTTAGCATTCACGCCCGACGGTGATGGGGGATTACAGATTTACCGGGGAGCTGGGGAGATTGATTGTAAACAGCGTGCTTATTTAAGACCGTTCGGCTACTTGGAATGATATACAGTGGAATCCGCTTAATAAATCCGTGATAAATAAATCGTGATAATAAATCATCCGCTTATTGTGGCCGCTTGAGCTGTTGACGGATTTTCCCCATAGATACCTATAGTTAACAAATCCGCTTAATAAATTCACGTACTCTGCTTAATAAAGCCATTTGGGAGTTCCGAAGACCGCAGTAACGTCTCCCCATTCGAAATGTGGCATCCAGCCCGCTCCTAAAGAACCGTGCTGGAGCAGCGGTCTGCAGCAGTTGGAGTTCTAAAAACAGATGGAGTTCAGGGCTATCAAGAGCGCAATTTCTATGCACTTCAGAGGAATGTTCCCGCAAAGCACGCTCGACTGTTTCGTCGGCATAGCAGGCATGACGGGGAGTGATCGTGGATGGATATGTTGACTTAATCGGTGCGACAGCTTTGCACTGGTCCCCTTCGCCCTTTGTCCCTTTTGCGCTGGTCCCTTTCAGGGTAACATGCTCCCGCACTACGGTCTCTACGGTCGCATGTTCGGGGGTATATCCAACCCTAAAACCTCCCTTTATACATAAGGCTGCATTACAAAAGACAAATTATTTGGGAGACTGCACAGTATCTGCACAGTAGACACTGGCACAAGCAACGAGCGTTTGTTATGAAACCTTAACGTTGTTACTCAATGCTCACGTCAATGCTCACATCGCGTCTTACGTCTTTGATAATACAATTTATTTGCGGAGGCAATATGCATCGTTCGTCTTTTTTCCTATGCGATGACGTGCAAGTCCCTGACGTAACGCCTCGTAATTTCATTCAACAATCTTTGTAGAATGCTGGCTAATTTGGCTGCAACACCACAAAGTATAGGCATGAGTTCCTTACGCTAACTTGCGGCGGCCAGCAGAAACCCACAACTACAATAAAATGAACGTTAGATTTGTTTGTGGTGTTCTGTAAATGACACACCGGGAAGCGACCTTCAGTTGCGAAATATGATGACTGCGCCCAGCCGCTTTCGCCCACAAAATGTGTTGCGGCTGAAGTTTTATTCCGCAGTAGGTCGTTTCACTGAGCACACTGACATATTTGAGTCCCAGGTAACCTAGATTCCATTTGGGCATGTCTTGATAGGGGGTCAAAAGGCATAAAGTTGTTTGCTTTCCATGCAATACCAAACTTAACATTGATTCGATAATGGATGCCAGAGACGCTCATGCTAACAATTCATAAGCTGCATTGGCAAACTTCAATCGTGTTTCATGCTTCATATTTGAAAGACATGCTGCAATGTGCATTTAAACAATATAGCATGAATTGCAATATTTTGGAAAGCTGCTTACGCAAGTTATGATTGTTTAAATATTTCCGCAATTTTATTTGTATATCTTATATGCCTAACATGAATTTTATGAAACGAGTATGATACCCATGCGACTAAATGTTTTTTTTTTACTGACTATACACTTATACTGTCACCATTCTCGCTTCCTTGCTGTATGATGCTCGCATCATTTCCTTTTACTTTTTTAATCCTTTCTTTGAAAAGTGTACCCAATGAGTGCTCACGCTCAGTGTTGACGCCGTCTGCCAGACGCAGTACACTTCTGCTTTGGGCGCCACTCATCCCTGAGCACTACATTTAGAGGTCCGTTCAGGCAAACAGTGCTGACCTCACGGTAAGCATGCACAGTGCTGTGTCATATACTCGCGTGACGATGAGTAGGACCGACGAACGTCATGCAGCATGTGGATGTTATACTTTTTTTTCGCAAGAATCGGAAATGACGCCCGTCTGTTGGAGGCACTGCAGGGTCTCAAACGACAAGGATCATCTTCTTTCTCCCTTTGGTATTTCGACCATATTGTGTTGATTGATATTCCTGGGAAAAGCTAGAAGAACGTTTGCCAATGAAACCATTCCCCCCCCAAACACACACACCAAAAAAAAAAAAAAAAAAAACGATGACAGTCATGCCATATTCATGTACGTTTAGGTCTTGACATGCATGTTTTGGCTGTTCGACTCGTGAAAGTTTGAGCATGACGTTTTGACACATATGCATCTTTTAGGTCTCACCATGCCGCCTTCGTTTCGAGGGCATGCCAGCTCCATCAGGAAGTGCACCAGCCTGCCTCACAGGTAAGTTACATGCATTCAATTGCCACCTTAGATTGGTGCTTCTGGTATTATGCAGAATCAAGTCAGTCCCTGCATGAGAGTGCCTGTATCGGATCATTCTCGCAGACTTAGCTTATCATGGCCAAATACTGTTACCTGATGGCTAAGTGACGCGTCTTCAGCCCCGGAAGGTGCCGTATAAAGTGTTCTTAGATAGTCTATGCAGTTGACTGGCACGGTATCTTGACGATGTTTTTTTTTCTTCAGACTATAGTCACACTCGAAATGCCTCATGTGATGTTTCCTTTTTACAAGGAAGAGCATCGACAAAGTAACTAAATCACCTGCAGTGACGTTTATTTACCTTTGTGCACGATAACCAACAGTTAGGGGTACATGTTGCAGCTGTTGCAGTGACTGACGGCTGGAGTGCCTAATAAGCTACTTTAAAGTCGCACGTGTTTTTAAACTGCAATACTGGCACTTACCTTCATGTTACATACTGAGTAATCCAGGGGATCTTGGAATGTTAACTGTTATGCATGTTTTATGAATGTACGATATGTTACAGAAAGTAACTGTTCCTCCAATTACGGACATTTTTCACTTGCCAGCTTGTCATATTTTTTTTCGTCAAAAGAACGGAACACCGGACACTAAAAACGCGGTAGTTCCTACACTGAAACTTAAGTTTTGTCCTTTTAGGGGAAATGCTAAACCTGAAAAACCGAATAGTGATAAGGTGTTGCAAAAAGAATCAGGACCATTCAAGTTTAGTTGTTGTAAGGAAAACTTATCAAAACCCTATCTCCCCCTCTCCCTCCCTCCCTCCCTCCTTCCCTCTCTCTCTCTCTCTCTCTCTCTCTCTCTCTCTCTCTCTCTCTCTCTCTCTCTCTCTCTCTCTCTCTCTCTCGCTCTTTCTGTTTGTGTACAACTTGTGTCTGTATGTGGCATGATAAGTTGCAATAGGTACCGTGACTTACATACATAGCCAATCCTAATCCATTTTCTTTCTCATATTATTGACACTGCTATGATAGTCTATGCATTATGCAATGCTACACTATATATCACCTAATCAGGATATGCTCAGCTGAGTGGCTCAACCGATCTCGAATTAATTAGCTAAGTAAGCCCGGGCGCACTGTCTATTGTACCGTCCGTTCCAGCGTAACTTCATCACTCGCCCACCTTGAATAATTAACGCGTGTTCGACCGCTGCAATGCCAGAATGTGACCGTGACACGGGATGGCCTGATATGGGACGAGGCGACACGTAGCGCTACTGGTTAACTGGCGACCAAGGTAGACCGGTCAACGGGGTGCTTCAATGCTCAGCCGCGGGACGGCAGCCGAGACATGATGGCATCTGTGCTATTCACTCAGTCACGGCACGCTGTTACTGAAATGGCACAGATCGACGATCGTTTTAACTAAAAGAAAATTAAGTTGGTTGATGATGAAATTGTTTGATTTGTTATGACATGCTTGCTTAATTATTTGCTATTCTAATTTTTTTTTCGCAACGAGTCTGCCAACCTCAATTGCAGTTCCACTATATGTCACGAGATGGCAATGCCGTCGCTCCAATATCTGCTAGGTGGCTCTGTTATCAATAGTACATCGAAGCTACGGACGAAAATGTAGTATTGTTGCGTCGACTATAGCACAATCAATACATCCATATACTTGCGCAATATTATGGCTTATCATGCCATTGGTATCGCCATTAGGGGTATGGTGGGGGATCACTTTTACATCGTCTTTACTCTGTAGAAGCCACACCATGACAATGGGCAATGAAGCCGCCAGCTTTTCAATGCCTGCTGAAAGGACTGATCCACGTTTGAGTGAAAGACGCTAATGCTAAAAAATAGGAGACTCTGGTTTATCATACCGATTTACAGTTCAACTATCGCTTTTTGACACACCTGCGCTATAAACACATAATGGAACGATGTGATTGCAGGTATCTAAAGAACAACGCTGTTTTTCATCGACGTTTTTTTTTTCGACAAGAGTCAATGTCTTCAACAATCGAAGTCAAAGAATTATGAAGTGACATCTAACTTTGTCCATTCAGACTGATGGAAAATGGTACTTTGTGAGCAGTCACTTTCCATACTCTGTCAAACATCAACCAAGCTCTGCCCTAAGTTCGCTCTTTCATGTTTGTTTTGGTTTGTTTGTGGTTTATTGTGCGATATGCCCTGGTGGCATTATTCACCGCTTCATCACACATGCGTTATTATGTGATGCTGCTGCTCGATCGTAAGGCACTCTGGCATTCAATAGGCAATATATGCGCTGTTCATTATTCCGATCAATTTGTTGCCTTCAAAAGTCACCATTCTGCCCCTGGGCTGGGGTCGGCGGCCCGCCGATGGACGCTCCCCACGTGCATGTTTATGGGCGCTAATAATGACTATTCGCTGGTCCGCTCATCGGCCACGTGCCGCCACGGCCCGCTGAGTGCCTCGCCACGTGCCACGTGCCACGTGCTACGTCATCATTCATGTGACGTCAGTGTCGGCACGTGTCGCGCGATAATCCATTAAAGGCGCCGGCCGCCCGCGGCGCTCGCTCCCGTCTCAGGGACCTGCGGCTGCCGGAGGGGATCGGACACGGTGAAGCGAATTGACACGCCCAGGGGAGAATAATGGCCCAAACGAGGGGTGTATTTTGATGGAGTGCACACGAGAGTAGTGTAACTTGGAGGGATTTGTGCTGCGGAATTCGTTCAACCGTTGCTGTGGCTT